ATAAATTTGTATAGCTACAAAAAACACTGTTGAAAGTTGATGTACCATTTAGGCTTTTCATTAAACCTAAAAGACTGCAGAAGCTAAAAAATAAAAATAAAAAAGTAAAATTATCTGTACAAAAGTTAAAAATGACTTTATCTTAATAGTTAAATAAGATTTAAGTTATGGTGTTATCTACGTTATGTAATTATGATCTTGAAACTCATTTTATTACAAACTCTAAAAGCATATATGAAGTTCCTATAAATCTATTAAGTAGGACTTATCTAGTTGAAAATTGCAACTAAGAAAGATATTCTAATTTTTACATTTCAAAAACTTGAAAATTGCATATTGACTAGTGGTAGTAGTTATTAAGTAAATATTGTAATTTATAGTTTTAGATATTTAATATGTATTATTTTAATTATTAAATAGTTTTTAAAATGATTAAAAGTTTAAAATAATATTATAAATAAGAAAAAAAAATTTACCCGTAAACCTCGTTTAGGCTCGCTTAAGCTCGTGAAGCTTGAAGTTTCGATATCACACCTAGCCACGTTTTACACTTTTTAGGACATTGCATCGAGGTGACATGTTTGCTCAAAGCTATGTTAGAGAGAACTTCAATGAGGTATTGAGGTGCTCTCAACGCCTCGGAAATGAGGTGGACTAGATGATAGAATATGACATCATTGCCTTGGCCAAGAAGATAGAGGAGGGGACATGCTCATTTACATTCGCCTCGGAGGAGAAGGTGCTAGGATGGCATCTTGATTAATTGGCAAACACGTGACAAAGGCCTAACAATTTATGTTTTGAGTTTTTATTTATTTATTTTTGTTTTTGTTTTAATTTTTTTTATTCTCATTTTACAATTGATTATGCTTTGTAACTTGTAATTGTTCGTATTTGATCGATGAATAAATAATAAAACTGCATTGTGTTGATATCTCTTTCTCTAAATCAAACAAAAAATAACCACATTGAAAATTTGATCCCTGCATAATCTTGTTCGGTATTGATATGCCATGAAGTGTATAAACTCTTATTTAATATATCCATTATTGGATATTTTAAAATACGATAAACTTCCATTGATATTTTTCTTGATATCTTGCTGCTTGATTTTTGAAAGTTTTATCATTTGGTCAAGAAATTTGAAAAGCCAATGTTTTTAGGATTAGAATGTCATGCACTGTTGGAAAGCTTTCCATGTTGGGATGCAGGGGCGGAGCCAGAGATTTCGCCCAGTGCGGGCAAAATTTTAAGTGTCGGCTACGGTGATTTTTTTGTTGAAATTAGTATATGAACAAAAAAAGCTTCACGTGATCAATACAAGGTACATTTTTTAACAATAGATAAGATGTTGGGGTTCATTGTACAAACAATAAATTTATGGGCCAATAAATTTGTGATAGGGCCTTTTGTTTTTCTTTCAAAAAGCCTAACTAAAGAGAATGCCCAAAATCTAAAAATTAAAAAATTGGCCCAAGTTAACTTTTCTTCCTCCTTCCCTTATTCTTCCCTATTTCATGAAAAGGCAAGGAGGAAGAAGAAAACTATTCTATCCAAACACTACGATATTGGGTAAATTGGTTTAAAATAATTTAGCCCCTATCTGGTGGTTCTTCTCTTCTCTTTCTCTCTCCTTTTTTTTTTTTCAAGATTTTATTATTGATAAAACTCCTTTTTTATTGCATGACATCTGACAAGTTTCAAACAAATTATTGTAGATATACTATTTATTGTACATTACCAAATATGCCCTTTCCTCATTGCATCCTTTATTTTGGCCAACCAACCACTTTCACTTTCTTGAATCTTCCTCCAATTTCTTTTTCGACCTGCGCCTTATTTCAGTGAGCAGGACAACCTTTGGACACCATTAGTGGACCAACGAGTTTGCCCATCTTCATGTCTTCGCCTTCTTTCTGACCCTCAAGTACCCGCAAGTGCAAAATCAGACGTCTCTTGCGGAGCCCCTGTCGTGGCCAAGTACAGTATTCCACGGCTTAACCCTTTTTTATTCCAGTTGACTACACTTTGTGCCACCTATTCATCCACTCTTTCACACCATGGATCCATACAATAATCTGGTACAATTGCCGATCTTTCCATCTATCGAATTAATTGTTCTTGCCCTTTTTCTAAAACTGCAATTAACTTTTGAGTTCGGTTGTGGCACACCATTTGTTGGTCACGTCAACAGAAGAAGCACAAATTGTAATGATCCTTTCATGTTGCGCACTGAGGATTAACATCCACACTCCACTGTGTACGCACCTCAAGTCCAGAAGGAACCTTTCAACCGAAAAAAATACCAGATTGAACGAGAAGCATAAATTATTTATAACATCCGAAATGGTAATCGCCGAAGGTCACCAGAAAGTGTTTCATGAAACATGGGTGAGAGTAATTGCAGACAGCGGACACACTCTTCTTCTTCCTTCCCTTTTCTTCTTTTGCCTTCCCTTTTCTTCTTCTTCTTCTTCTTCTTCTTGGTCCAGTGTAGGCACACTGGATTTTCCTGTGTCAAATTCAAAGTCCAGTGCGGGCATCAGCCTGCACTGGACTCCACGTAGCTCCGCCCCTGTTGGGATGTGCTTGTTTGACAACCCCCGGTTGTCCAGGTGGGTACGTGGTCCAAGGGGCTTAAGACTTCCGTATTTAACTAGTAAAATTAGTCTCACCACGAAAGAGAGAAGAAAAAATCAATATTGAAATTCGGGTCCTGTTTGGTACTCATTTTAATGAGGGGTTTTTTTTTTTTTCTCCTCTCCTACTGTAGATGTCTGCCAATACATCACAATAAAGTCATATTAGGATCAAAATAGATATTAGGAGGATCCAACTGTTGAGACTTGGTGGACTGTTTTACCCTCGTATCCTGCTGGAAATGTACACAAATAAGGGCATAAACGGAAATTTACGAACTTGAAAATGTCAGTAAACGGCTATCTGCTCAATAGCCTATCTGCACAATAGCCTCCGTTCATGTCAGACTAAACGTGTCCCTGCTCCAACCTGGGGCCACTTTCTGTTGAAAAAATGTTTGAAAAAAATGGATGCGAATGGGGCAAACAAAAACTGAATTTTTCTTTCATGCTTTCTGCAAATTAAACTCAAATCACAACTCCATATTTACATTCCTGTAGCAAGGCTTGAATAATTGCTTATCATGCAAATGCAGAGAGCGGTAAACATAACCGTAACAATATTCCTTTTGATATTCTATTATTCTGTTTCACATGTTTAATCAGTTGACACCCTCAAACAGGGGGATAGGCTAAATTCTTCTGCATATCTGGTTTCTGCCTACGAAGTTTTCACTTTAGGATTTTATAGCCTCGAAAATACCAATAATAGTTCTTTAGGAGTATGGTTCACGGATGATTCATATGGTCCAGTATGGCTTGGCAACAGAGACAAACCTATTGCTGATAATTCTGGTGTTCTCACAGTAAGCAGCATCAAGAAACTTATTATCAACAACAGTGGAGGAGATCCTATTGAGCTGTACGGAAATGAAAATTGAATGAATATAACAGCCACTCTGTTGAATTCGGGCAATTTCGTAGTGAAAGAGATGAATAGAACTAGTTCTGGGAATAGGGTTTTGTAGCAAAGCTTTGATTATCCCACTGATCATAAGGCAGCGAGGAGTGGCTAATTGGACCAGTGGAGAATTGAAGGATTATATTGATGAGGAGAGGCCAGAGTTGAAACTCAAGAAATTTAAGAATATAGGTGGTGGATATGATCCATATAATTTTATTTACAATTTTGTCAATGTCACAAATGGTGGTGAGAATTATATGAGCTACTTCCTTGAAATAGACCCGGTTCTCACCCCCGAAGAACTAAAAATTTCTGGATGGAAGCTAGACTCTGAAGGGTTTATATTCGATCATAGAAGAATGGTAATTGCAAATGTGCGACGTTGTTATGGTTATAACACCCGAGAAGGCTGCGAATTATGGGAACAGCTTAAGTGCAGGAATTACAAAGAGACGTTTGATTTGGGATCTGGGCACTTTATGCCAACAAGCGATTCATATTCTGTTTATGATAACAGTTCAAGCCTTACTGAGAGCACTGCAGAGGTAACTACTGGAATGACTGCGAATGTGTAGCCTATACAATAAGTAGTGAATCTGGCCGTGTATATTGGAAAGGGAGAATTTGACATTTGTACAGAGTCTCGATGGTTTGGAAGTTAGAAAACAATGTTCTCATCTGAGCCAACAAAGAAAGGTAAGTTCATAAATTTTATTCCATCTTTCCTAAAAAACTGGCATCATCCACTTTTTAACTGATAGCCAGGGAAATACTATATCAAAATCCACATATCTGGCATTTGATTTGAATTATATAAAGCCATTTGATATAAATTCATTTATATGTAAAATCCCATTTCTTTTGCAATATCATATTTGAGACATATAAAAATATTTGATGGTCAAATAATAAGTTCTTTTCCTTCTAAGAGAAGAAATCGAATAACACAGCTGGACCATAATGATCATATGTCTGTAATTCATTGTATGTCGGATGATAGGTCTCATTCTTCTACCCGTTCCCAGAAGTCGATGACAACAAATAAAAGTTCGACCCAATGCTTTACTTTTGTCCTAGTTGAAATCCTGATTTGACACTAAAACTATATTGACTTTTTACCCAATAACTAAATTCATCCATAAATCTATTTTCTTCCCTATGAGTAGTTCTATCGTGATCCCCTTCATATATTGAAGCTAGAGGTCAAATAATACTGATTGATCTAAACTGGATAATGAATGGTGATGCAGGTCATATTGTATTATTGCACCTATTTGTAAAAGGGTTGTGCTACTTGTACACGGAGGTGTACAACCCTCTCACAAGAGGGGTGCCCATGATCGTGAGGGGGGCCGTATACCAAACCTTAGGGTACAAATAGCATTTTCCTTTGTAAAATTCCTCAAGTTAATGTTCAAGAAAAGAAAATAATCAATCTGATTCACTATAAGCAGATGACGAATGACAGGACGGAAGAAGATTTGGATAATCATTGCTGTGGTGATTACAGTAGTTCTGCTATTGTTGGGCAGTTCATGGTTCATCATGCGTAAAATTAAACAAGGTATATTTTCGATAACTCTTGGATTTTCCATGTTTAAACTATATTCATTGCCATTGTTATATTGATATTTTGGCGATCATCTTGTCTTATAAGGAAATTGGAGGAAGAACTTGAAAAAATGATAACCCTAGAGGAATATACAGACACAGATGAACTGGAAAACAACGAAAGAAAGGGACATGATCTCAAACTGTTTACATACTCATCTATCCTGGCTGCTACGAATAGCTTTTCATCAGAAAACAAACTGGGGGAGGGTGGTTTTGGCCCTGTTTATAAGGTAAATTTGAAAGGAAAATCATTCTTCATTTTGTAGCTATTTTTAGGGCTGTTTTTGCATGATGAATCTTGGATAGACGATTTACCGTCAGAATCAAGTGCCCTTGACTTGGAGGGCCACGATACCTGAGCTTTGCAGGCTGATTACATAACTAACTCTTCAGGATGCCATCTTATCCGTATAGAAAAGATAACGCATTTTTAAAAGCTTAAACCATAAGAAATGGGACACACACACACTTATATATTGTTACCACTCCTCCTCACGTGCAGATCAATCCATCGAAAGTCTGATACATGACAATTTTTGACAGTTTGGTATCAACGGAACTTGTACCCAGGTCTTTTTTGTGACTAACTTTGGTGACCAAATCCAATTATTTATTTAAATGTTGTCTTCAGCAAATGTATTAGCACTTAGGATGAGTCTTTGATGGGTGGTCATCCCTTAAGATTGTGTGCCTCTTCAATGAAGCCGTGGGCATTGTCAGTTTACCTTCCGAGAATCATTGAACGAAGCCAAGACTTCAGTACAACGGGAAGAGGTTATGTATTGAACTTCTTATGGCAAACAAAATTCCATCTCCTAATGAGCAGTTTGTCCCGTTTGTCCTTTAGTTACTAGGATCCTAAGGTAGCCTTCCCAATTTGATTTAAACTTCCATATCAAACTTCTTGTTTCCCCCCAGATACCTTCCTCTAAATTAGTTCTCCTTCACTGAACTACTATGTTTTGACCTAATAATTTTAAAGATGACTAGTTTTCAATGGTAGTCCTTGGCAACCATTAACAAATATGCACTCATTACATGAAAGGTGAGAGAATGAGTAATGATTATCAGCTCTTCAGTCTGTAGGTTGGAGACAGAGCTAATCTTTAGTACTACTCATCCTTCATGTAATGTGCAGAGTCTTTCTTCTTCCCTGATATGTTTTACCCATTATGCTCTAGCTGTGATTGAGCAGTGATCTTTGTGGTAGAATTCGGAAGGCCTCTTACCTATCATAGGCAGGAAAAAAAATATGGCAACCGTTTTTCGAAGACTCCGTATGTATCCCCTCATAGTGAACTTGATTGGAGTTTCTCGAGGCAATAAGATATTTTTGTTGTCACCACAGGAAACTCAAAGAGTTCATTAATTAAACTCATCAGAGAATTGGAATAATCAGATCCAAGACCTGAAACATATGATATATCCTTTTTTCAGAGTCCATTCCTCCACAGTTCCAAAGCGATCCTTAGCCCTTGTTTGAGCCCCGATTGGGTTGGGTTTTTATCAAATCCAAACACAATCCAACATGGTCGGTTTGACCTAAAATCAAACCAGCCCAACACAGTTATTAGTTTAAACCCAACCCAAATTGATTAAGCTTGGGTTGGTTTGGATTTGATTGGTAGATTAGGCTTGGGCCCATTTCAAGTTGAATCTGATTATTTTTTGTTGAATTTGATCAATTTTTATAGTTTGAAACCACTTGAAAATCTCCATTATTTTTAATCTATATGAGAAATTCTTTTTGAAAATTAATTTATAAATAAATTTGAAACCATGGAGCATTTTGTTTTTATAATTATTTTTGGGATTTATTAATTTCATTAACACGTTCTTAATTTTTTCGCATTATTTTGCATTCGTATATAATATTCATACCAATCAATATGAAAGCCCAAGAATAGTTAACCAAGGGGGGGTAAATTGGTATTCAAGATTTTTTCGAAATCTAATTCTAGATTTAAACCAATATGATAGCAAATGAAAAAATTAGACAAAAATGCACAAATACACACAAGTATAAAGTCAAATAAGAACAAGTAATGAGTATAATATGAAAGCGGTAAATAAAAGAGAGAGTAAGGACGCCAACGATATAATTGTGGAGGTTTGATCTAAGACAATGATCTATGTTCTCCATTATCAAGCTCGCTTGCACGAGTAAGGCCTTGTCACTATATTGATTGACTTATAGTGCAATCTAACCCTTTACAACGCTTTCGGTAACTTACAAACAAGAAGTACAAATCCTTATAACCTTAACACGACCCATACTATTGAGCTTTTTAGCTTTGCGAGACCTCAATATAACCAACACTTTTCCCAAGTGATTTTACAATAAAATTCTCTCTTAATTAATAATACAAAACAAATTAAGTACTAAGAGAGGCTAATACTTCAATGATAGTAGCAAATGATAGCTTAAGTGTTAGATGGAAAATTTTGATGAATATGTTAATTAAAAGTTAGATACAATCAATCATAGTGTTTCAATGAGAAGATTATGAAGAAATAAATGCAATGTAAATTCAAAAAATCTTCTCAACAAACATTTCTATTTAAGTGAATATTGTAATAAGCTAAGTACTAAGAGAAATAAGAAACTTTGATGAATATGATGATTGTACAAATTTGTTTCAATCAATCAAAATTTTTAATATGAAGAAGTAGAAATGATTATACAATATAAGTGCAAAGACTTTCTTCAAAAATATCTCTCTCTCTCTTAAGATTGATATAAATAATTTAAGAACAAAGAGAGATGAAAAACTTTGATGAAAGAAATTGATTTTAGAATTTTGATTCAACAATCAAAGTTTTTGCCACGAAGAAATAAATGAAATGAAAATAAAAATGTAAGGTCATGGAAGATTTTTCACAAATATACTTCGCTAGGAAGCTCTTTTCGTGGTTGTTGTGATGAATGAAAGTGAAGTGGTATTTATAGCAATCAAAACGGAAAAGTTCTGCCCAACCAGACAATCAAACTAGTTGTTGTGCAACGGTTTAAAAATTTGACCATTGGCGAACTGGATATTCGGTTGACTGTTGATTTTGACCACTGATTTATTTTTTATTTTTAGAATTTTGATCGATGTTCAAGTGCGACTTTCAAAAATCAATTTTACTTTTAATTAAAATATTTTATGCAAGTGATGATGAAAATAACTTTTAGTGCGCAAAATGATCTTTGAGCTATTGTCATTTATTTCTAAAGATCAAAGTGTTATATATTTATATATGATTTAGAAAGCATAGTTTTTTTTATCTTACTTCGAAGTTTCTTTCTTGTTTGGTTCTTGAACTTCTTGTCTTGATCTTTCTTTGATGTCGTCCCTCATTCTCTTGATCTTATCTTTCTTGGCATTTATCTTTTAAGCTCTCGTCTCGAATGATTTGACTTGAATGCTTAACTCTTATTTTGATCTTCATTTCAAGTCCTATGTATAATGCTTGATTGATTTTAACATTGAGCTATCATAACTCAAAATAAATTGTCAGAAGCAATATTAATCTTATTTGTTATGATCAAAATCTTGAGGATGAAGTTGACCATATGTCAACGCATCCTATATAAAAAAAGGAATGTTTGTATATTCTAAATTCATCTCTTGTATACACTATTGTGTCTATTTAGATTTTTAATTTTTCCATTCTAGGTATTAAATTTTTTTAATTCATCGGATTATTGTGTGTTGAGTTGAATTGGGTTTAATCTATAACCTGAGCCCCAATCTCAAATTTAATTTTTCAATCCTACCCGACCCAATTTAACTTAAAAACCACCGCAAACCAGTCCGTTTGGGTTGGATTGGTCGGTTTGAGCAATTTGGGTTGGTTTTTGCCCAACCCGAAATAGATTTTGTAATAGTAATTTTTTGAAAAATGTGTGGTTAAAAAGTAGAGTTACGTGTAAGATTAATTTATCAGGAGAATGTATGGAGAAAATGAGTGTTTTTTTTTTAAATTTAATTTTTTATAGAATTGAGCTCAAAGAGGGGCTTATTCTCATTGCATCATAGGATGAATAGATACATTGATGCACAAAGGCGTACCCATCCAAGCGAAGCAATTGGTAAAGAGTGGTGGTGAATAAACTAAGCTACAAGCTTTGCACTGGTGCAAGCATTCCATTTTGCTAAGATGTGAGCTGTAGGTTGAAATGATCATGCCATAGTAAGTGCTAGTAACCTTGACATGTACTCAAAACCCCACCTAAGCTCCCGAAAAGCCAAGTTCGGTGGTTTTTTATTCATTCCTACGGATGTGAACAAATAAGAATATGCAAGCCAAGGCACAAGGCAAAGTTTAGAGCATGTATACTCTCTTTCATCTCTGCCATAATTATAGATTACTTTAGAGGGAATAATAATGTAGAAAAATTAGAACAATGTAATTTTAGGCAACGCAATCGTTGCTATGCAACACCATTTTGGCATTTAAGTGTTGTTTCAATGTAAAGCTTTATTATTGATAAACACATTGTACATGTTTATGTGCCCTTACAGGGAAAAATGGTCGAAGGGCGAGAAATAGCAGTCAAAATACTCTCACGAGGGTCAAATCAAGGATTGCTCGAGTTTAAAACTGAGCTAATACTTATATCTAAAATTCAACATGTGAATCTAATCAAGTTATTGGGTTTTTGCATCCATGGAGATGAGAAGATGATAATCTATGACTACATGCCCGACAAAAGTTTGGACTTCTTTCTCTTTTGTAAGTAGTATCTATTGCGAACAATTCATTCTTTTATGCTCTCTAGAACATAGGCAATACTTGAATGAGATCGTAGATACTGATGATCATTAGTTTTTGTACCTATTACAAACGGTTTTATGTTTCCATAATTAAGAAAAGTCAATATGATGCCAATTAGTATATTTTGAGATATGAAGACATGCAGAAAATTATCACAAGTAGAACACAATCCATGTGATTTAAGTTGGGAAGGCCTTACGACTGGCATAATTTGCAAGAGGAGTACTTGAAAATTCTGAAATTATAATTATAAATTTGTGATTTACATTTAATGATCATGATAGATCCAGCAAAGGAGCTTTTAAACTGGGATACACGTTTCAACATCTTCGAAGGGATTGCTCAAGGACTGCTGTACCTCCACAAATATTCGCGATTAAGGATAATTCACAGAGATTTAAAAACCAGTAATATATTACTTGACGAGAACATGACCCCCAAAATTTCTGATTTTGGACTCGCAAAAATCTTCAATCAGAATGTGATAGAAGAAAATACAAATAGGCGTGTGGGGACATAGTAAATAACAAAGAATATTTTGTTTTCATATTGTCTGCCAATAGTGTGTATTTATATTCTCAAGGCTCATCAACATTATCACCAAGTGCTGTCTATTGTTCATTTTACAGTGGTTACATGGCTCCTGAGTATGCAATGCAGGGTATTTACTCTGCCAAATCAGACATCTATAGTTTTGGAGTTTTAATGCTTGAGATTGTGAGTGGTAAAAAAAAACAATAGCTTCCACAATCAAGAAGTTAGAAAATTACATTACAAAGAGGGTCAGATAGGAGTAATTATGCTCAACCAGGCGCGGAGCCAACACCCGGCGAGGAGGCGCGGCCGCGCGTGCTGGCTCCGTCGGAGTCTTCAATCAGTTCAGTGGCCGCCGGGTTGGCAATTGTAGATGGAGCCAGTTAGCCAGGAGGAGGAGGAAGAACTCAGTTTCAATCGGAGAAGACGACCACTTTATTAATTTTTTCTTTGGGCTAATCTAACTGAAATTGGGCCTATTTAAAAAAAAATTCGCCCAAATATGGAAATTGAATCCATTAAAACGGATAGTCCACGGATCTTTGGATATATTGGTTTTAATTGACATTTCTCCCAACTCCTAAACCTGAAATTAGTCCCAAAATCGCAAACCCTTGGTCGGTTGGTCCCTTCCATTTCCATAGTTCCATTATATAGAAACCGGTTACCCACTACCCAGTTACCCTTCAATTTCCATTTTTCTCTCAGGATACAATGGAGGCGTTCGATTCAAATTGTGTATCCCTTGGAAGTGACTGTTAAAAATGAACAGATGCACCTATTCAAAAACTTTTGAAAATAAAATTCTCTTTCGGGGGCGTTGCCCCCATCCCCCACAGGGGGCGCTGCCCCCTCGATCTGACCGGGCAGGTCGAATCCCGTTGCGCAGCGGCAAACACTAATCCGGGCGGCAAATTATTTGCAAAACAAAAAAATTAAACACATGCAAAATGATGAAAAATATCTAACAGTTGAGCACTTGGAATCTTGGATGACTTGAGTTGAGTGACTCTGTTGGAGATTTGGAGACTCGAAGTGCTGACTGGCTTGAGTGTTGTACATGTTATTAGTAATTAGTGAGAGTGAATCAGTGTTTAATTCATATAGTCGTAGCAAAGGAAATTAGGATTTATGAATTATTACTAAGAATTGTAATTTTTTAATCAAATTTTAATATGATGTTGATTATCGATGGTCAACGATCGATGGTCAAAATCAAAGTCAACTGCCCTAGCTGAACGTGGAACCTAGATCCGCCCCTGTGCTCAACAGCAGGGTTGTAGCCCGGCAATTAAGGCCTGGGGGGCGGGGGGTGGAATTTTTTGAAAATTTAATTTACCATTAAAATTTGTATATAACAAGAAAAATCGTAATATAACGTTTCCTATTATAGTGGTACCCGACGATATTTTACAGAATAAAACTTATCTATAATAGAATCTAGTTTTAAATTTATACTAAATTCTCGTTTGATGTTTAGTGTTAAACAATTAGCAAGAAAATCATCATCCATTTTTTTTACGAATTTTCGTCTTCACATGTTTCATTGCTGAAAATGTTACTCCACAGTCGTCATTGAAATAGGTAGTATCAGGATTAAACAAATCAATTTAGTCAAAATGACGTAACCCTCTGACCTTTTGCTTGCAACCAATTTCAAACATAAATCAGAAAGTTTAGATACTTGAAATCGAGGTTCAGAGATCACATCATTCTGATAATGTTGTAACTCAACTTTTGAACATTAAATATCTTGGTCTGTAATATCTTCAGGATAAAACTACTCAGTAAGCTCGCAAATATTATCCATGTTAAATGATTCAAAAGAATTTTTTGGATCCAAAGCCATATTGAGAGAAAGTAGTTCTAATGATGTCTCATTAAATCTTGTATTTAACTCCATCATCTGAAAATCTATGGCTGTATTGAAAATATCAAAGTGAAAATGATGTTTAATAGTAGGATACTCATGACCACGAGAACGACCAACCACATACGAACCGTCAAAGTTAGGTACATGTATATCATTTTTTGAGGAAAAAATTTGACTTTAAGAAATTCTTCCCAGCCCTCTTCTCTCAATGCTTGAAGGATAGTTTTATAGTATGGATAAATCTCATAGCAGTTAAGATGTCTCGAGTTTTTTCTGAAGGGCCTGAAAAAAGCATATCTGTAATTGCCAATATTATACGCATTAAATGCAAGATAAATACAAATTCAAATGGATGTTCACATATTGCTTTCTTTTTCCTGAGTCCCATTCAATAGAATTAGATGGTTCCAAATTAAGATTGAAAGATAAAGGCCATTCAACTTCAAGAGATGAGTTTGGAGGAATGGGCGTTGTAGGAATTGGAATACCTTGAGATTTGTTGCTTTTTGAAAGGAAAGATAACAAGGTTCTTCCTCTCTTAAAAGATGGTCAATCTTCTTCTATATTAAATCTAAACGCATAAAAATCAAAATACTTCAATATCCCATAAAAGTATAAACATAAATTGATAAAACCATAACCATAAACTATCAACACAAATTACACAATTACACAGTAGATAGATTAATAGCGTCACTACAGTACATTATCTTTGTTTAATTAATAATTGTCAATAGATAGCTTTCTAATTCCAAGATACTAGCTTTATTTAATTGCACAATGAAAGGAAAGACAAAGCTAACATTTGCCGGTAACTGTAAGCTAACATTTTCCTCCAACTTCTGCTCATGCCCCACGGCCCATGGTTTGCTTTGCACAATTACTAGTTGAAATCTTTAAACCAATTTGTTGTTTACATTTTACAAACTGCTATGAAATGTGATTTTTCATCCAAAAAGAACCTCCTCAACTAGTTCAATTTCTTTGTTGCTAAACATTAAAATACTTACAATTTACAATAGGTGCGGTCGGTAGTTGGTGGTTGGTGGTCAGCGATTCCTGTGGGTGAAGAGATTTAGGGTTTAAAGATTTTGGGAATTATTTCAATTTTGGTTTTCCAAATGACATTAAGATAGAAGAAATGGGTATTGATTAAAATTAAACAACTTTGTTTTAAAAATTGAGCTTAAAATTAAATAAATAAGTGGGCCAAAGATTAAAATAAAAAATTAGTTGAGATATGAAGTAGGATAGCCCATTGAAATTAATTGTTGGTGGGCTAATAGATTACAACTAAAACCTAATTTTATCAATTTTAATGTGTCTGGGCTTAGGAAACAGTGGGCTACAGCCAAGTGTAGCCCATTGCCAAATCTGTCCCTGCTCAACAGGCTTTCTCGATGCTTAAATTCAAATGTGTGAAAGGTATGGCAGTGGGAATATCAGCTTAGACGTGATGCATAAAGTCGAAGTTCATAAAATTTGAACTTGATAAGCAATTGATGAATTTTGTAACTCAAGTTATTGAAATTAGGCTTTTTGTTTACGTAGTTTATGCCATAAAGTTTACAAGTCTTATGTATTATATCTAGTATTCAATATTTGAAATACCATACAGTTCAATGATATTATACTACACAAAAAAGGGTTCCATGTACCACAAGTTTAGCAACTAATAAAACATGGTTGCTATAAGACACGATTAGTGAGCAACGAATGATTGGTAGAGGTTTTGGCCTTGTAAAATTGGACTAAGAGAGGCATAGACTTTGTTTTCAATTTTTTTGAATTTGTAATCATGTTTATTTAATTAAGTTAAATATTAAAGTTTAAAACTCAAAAATAAGTAAATAAATAAAAAATTTACCAAGTCAATTTGGGGTGAGCCTTATAGAGTTGGTTACATAGGCCACAACCTAACCGACCACAATGAATACTAATGATATCCTCCTGACCAAATTACATCATTAACAAAAATGGACCTGATCATAATACAACAAAAATTAGACTACCTAATATTTATGATTATTCCTAAATAAATGGAATTAGAAATAGAATTTATTCGATAAAAAAAATTATCTAGAACATTAAAAACACATTTTTTGGAGTCAAATGATGGAATTTAATCCAAACTTGTAGATGTTTTATCAACTTTTATCGAAATATGCTAAAAGTTTAATTTTAATCTTCATCAAACATGGGTTAATAAACATAGCCCAATTAGAACTGATTTACAAATAAATAAATAAATACCAATAAAAAAATTCGCAACACATAATACCCACCAAAACATAACTCAAACATCAAACCTTCTCATCTCAATACATAAAATTGACTTCTTTTACTCATTATTTTTCAATTATTTGTAGTGGTTTCTGAAAGAATTTCTAATTATATTTACTTAGCCTTGTTTCTATGTTTGTGTATTTATATACGTTGACTGTAAATTTTGAATGACATTGGAATTCATAATTTTTAATTCAAATTCAGATTTGGGAGAGTTTTACCTCGGCTTGATATGATAATGGTGTGATTGAGCTCCAATTGAAGATTCGCTTTGAACATGTCAATAATCCGATTGGGACAGAGGCAAGTTCATTGGAGAATTATAATATCCAAGGGTAACTATTGCATTTTTTTCTAACCCAAGTGTACGATATCGCTGCAAGTAATATATTGAACCTTTAAGTTCGGATTATCATTCTCACGAGAACTGTATTTTAGCACTTAATCTAATTTTTCTAACTCCTATTTGATTAAAGAAAACAAAGAATTATATGTTGTGATTTTTAAATTGAATACTTAAAAATATGTGGATGCACACAAAGATTGGTTTAGAATTTAAATAATAAACTGGCATTAGGGCAGAACAATTTCACCTGTTGATATGATTTGGGTTGCGCACCAAATACCAAGAATTTGATTATTGTTGGAAGGAAACCAAGTGCAATGTTTAAGTTTAATTCTAGTCAACAAGCCATGCAACTTAAGGGTTCGAGCCAAGTTCGAGACTTCGAAAGAGTTGATAAAGATGGTCATTTATATGTTCGAACAACCGAGTCCAACATCTTGAAGATAACAAGTTCCATGATTGGCGGGAAGAGACTAAGTGTAAAGTCGAGTTTGATCAAAGCCAATAAAATCATACAATTAAGTGTCGAGGTTACGGGGTCCAAAATAATGAAGTTCACACAAGTCAAGGAGTAGCTTTCATGTTGGGATTGAGAGCCGAAAAGAATAGGATTCAAAGTTTTGGACGATATATGAAAAAAGAGCAGCGTGGATTAAAAAGAGCATAATTTTCAGCTCGGGTGTCGAATTTTCGTCCATGAGTACAATTCGAAA